ATGCAAGCTCCAGCTTCATTTCTATCATGGAGGCCATATTTTCCAACTACTGATCTTTGTTCTTTGCTTCCAACCTTTGCATTCCAATCTACAGAAATTATTAATGCATCTTGATTGCATGTTTGATCAATTTCAGACTGAAGAAATTAGTAGGATTCTTCAATTTTATCCTCACTGGGATTAGTGGTTAGTGCATAAATTTGAATAATAGTGGTATTAACTGGTCTTCCTTGTAGGTATATGAATATTATCCTATCACAGACAGCGTTATACTTCATGACAGATCTTGAAAGGTTCTTCTTGACAGCAGATGCAACACCATTCCTCCTCAATTTGATGTTCATGGCATAGTAAACCATGTGATTGTCAGATTCTAACAGCCAATACCAGTACATTTCAGCTCCCTAATGCCAAGAATATCGATGTCTATGCGTTTCATTTCATTTTAGATAACTTCCAATTCTCCTAGATTCCTACTTCGTACATTCTATGTTCTGATTATTAATGGATGTTTGCAGCTACTTCTCCTCATTTTGAGTTGTGCTGTATCAGCAAACAAAGCTTTGCTCCATTCACGTTATCATGGCCAACTCTACACTGAGGAGGTAGCTCTTCCCTAGTTGTATTTTGAGTGCCTTCCAACCTGAGGGGCTCATTTTCCTGCACTATAGCTGACAATGTTCTGTTGCTATTAATAATGTTTTCATCTTCTGGCATCATATCTGACAATGTTCTGATACTATTCATAAGGTTTTCAGTGGGTAACCATCCAGAAGTAGTCTGTCTCTCCTTCTAGTCTGTTTTAACCTGTAAGCTCTCCTGAAATCTTATCCATCATGGGTGACCCTGCTGTTATTTAAAATACTGGTCACATAGCTTCCAGAATCATAGCAATATGCAAGCTATTGAAGTATGACAAACTGACAGATGGATGTCAGGGTTTTAAGGTAGCATTCATATACTATCCAAGTCACATAACACTCTATTTCACAGATCATATTGTGGATGCTATTCAATGAAGCATACCTGTATACATTTTACTAAGATATTAATCACATACCACACAATTCTCCCATCTCACTTGTACAATTCAACAGTGCTTAGTATACTGTTGTTGTTACGTGCCGTGGAGTAGGTTCTGACTCACAGTGACCCTACACAGGGTTTCCGAGGCTGTAAATCTTTACAGGAGTAGAAAGCCTCATCTTTCTCCTGCGGAACAGCTGATAGTTTTGAACTGCTGACCTTGAGATCTTGCATTAGCAGCCGTTCCCTATTTCTCTTCAAACACTCCCTCCACACAGCCCTTGGAAATCCATATCTGTAGATTTGCCTATTCTGGACATTTCATATAAATGGAGTCATTTCCCATAAATGGAGTCAAACAATAGTTGTCCTTTCATGTCTGACTTTCACTCAGCATAATGCTTTCAAGGTCTGTCCATGGTGCTGGCTGTATCAGAATTTCTTTCCTTTATTGTTGTTGTTAAGTGCCATCGAGTCAGTTCCGACCCATAG